GGATGAAAGCGTGCAGAGAAGTCAGAGGGCCCTTGTCCAATTCAGGGTTAGCTGCGGCTGTGTTGGCAGCTGCAAAAACAGTTGGTAAAGGGTGTGGCAGCTGTTTTAGGTGTGTACGGAAAGAACATTACAAGAAACAATGTCCTAAAAGTGGAGGAGAGAGCAAAACAGGAAACTGCAAACTGGGTGTTTGCCCCAGGTGTAAGAAAGGGAAACATTGGGCCAATGAGTGCCGATCGGTTAAAGACATACATGGGCAGCCAATTACAGCACCTCAAGAGCCAAAAAAACGGGAATAGGGGCTCCTATCCCCAGGGCCCACGAATATATGGGGCACTGCAGAACCCGTCATTTCGCGCCCCCCCCCCATCGCAGCCAGGTGAGCAACCTCAGGCTCCGCAGGGCTGGACATCTGTGCCACCTCCAGAGTGGTATTAACACCACGAATGGGAGTGCAACCAGTGGAGTCAGATTTTAAAGGCCCACTACCCAAGTATACGGTGGGTCTGCTCCTTGGCAGATCCTCGTCTGCCTTGAAGGGATTAGTCATTACTCCAGGAGTCATAGATCTTGATTATGAAGGAGTTGTAAAAATATTATGTGCTTCCCCTTGAGGCATAACAGCAATCTCTCCAGGGGATCGGATAGCCCAATTAATAATTTTACCCAGTCTTCATGCTAGCTTCCCTGCTAAGGATAAGTATAGAGGTGACAAGGGTTTTGGTTCCACCGGGGTTGATCTGGCATGTCTTTCGTTAACGCTTGACAACCATCCGATAATAGATTTAAAGATAGAAGGGAGGACATTTTCTGGACTGTTGGATACTGGAGCCGACCGCAGCATTAAAGCCAGAGGCTCTTGGCCAAAACACTGGCTGCGGCAGTCATCGTCCCAAACATTACAAGGCTTGGGCTATGCCCAGGCTCCAGAAATAAGTGCAAAGGAATTAACCTGGTCTTTTAATGAAGGACAAAAAGGGAGATTCCAACCCTTTGTGGTGGATCTTCCCATTACCCTCTGGGGAAGAGATGTGCTAAGCCAAATGGAAATGAAGCTGACTACTGAATACTCTTCGGCTAGCAAAAATATTATGATGAATTCAGGATTTGTACCAGGAAAAGGGCTTGGAAAATGTCTCCAAGGCATAACGGAGCCTATAGAGGCACAAAGAAACAGAGACCATAGAGGGCTGGGTTTTTCGTAGGGGCCACTGGGGATGGAATTCCTATACCTTGGACTACCTCCACCCCAGTCTGGGTCCCTCAGTGGCCCCTCTCCCAGGAGAAATTGCTTGCTGCCCAAGAATTAGTCCAAGAACAGCTAGCTGCAGGTCACCTCGAACCCTCTCAATCACCGTGGAATACTCCTCTATTTGTGATCAAAAAGAAATCAGGCAAGTGGAGGTTGTTGCATGATCTTAGGGCGGTTAATCAGCAGATGCAGCTTATGGGCCCCGTACAGCAGGGCTTACCGATGCTTTCTAGTATCCCAGCTGATTGGCCGGTAATCATACTTGACATTAGGGACTGTTTTTTTCTCTATACCCTTGGCAAAGGAGGAAGCTGACATTTGCAAATGCCTTTACATTGCCATCTGTTAATCATGAACAACCAGATGCACGATTTCAGTGGTGCGTCTTACCACAAGGGATGGCCAACAGTCCCACTATGTGTCAACTATTTGTTGACAAGGCCCTCTCCCCAGCATGCAAGGATCATCCTCGTGTTCGGATATGCCATTACATGGATGATATACTGTTGGCTACACCCACGCAGGTGATGTTAGCCTTTGCACAGACAGTTAAGGTTCTGGAAGCAAAGGGTTTGTTTTGTTTGAACCTCCAGAAAAAGTTCAAAAGGGAGCCATGGGTAAATTCCTGGGAGCCATTATTTCCCCAATGCATGTACAACCTCAGAAAATTCAGATCAGGGTCGATCATTTAAAGACCTTAAATGACTTTCAAAAACTGTTAGGGGACATAAATTGGCTCAGGTCATATCTGCCTGTCACAACGGCAGAGTTAAAGCCTTTGTTTAATATCTTGGAAGGAGATCCCAGGATTACTTCTTATCATGCTCTTACGCCGATAACAACAACATTAACAACGCGCGACTAACACGCATTGATCCTCGTGCACCCTTTTGTCTGTGTGTGCTCCCCACCTTTCGACAACCTACTGCAGTTATATGGCAGAAGGACCCCTTACTTTGGGTCCATGCTCATGCTTCCCCAAGTAAAACAATAGAACATTACCCAATGGCAGTGGCCAGTATAGCCCTGCAGGGCATAAAAGTGGCAACTACGCATTTTGCCACCGCTCCATATCTTTTGGTTCAACCATATACTCCAGCACAGATTCAGGTTTTAGGAGCCATGGTAGATGAATGGGCCATTTTGCTTTGTGCTTATTCAGGTAAAATTGATAATCATTATCCCAAGGATCCTTTATTGCAGTTTGTTATGCACCATCCCGTTATTTTTCCAAAGATTACCTCCGAAAAACGTCTAGTAAGAGCAAAAGATATTTATACAGATGGCTCTAAGAATGGGCATGGAGCCTATGTGGTCCGGGGGAAGATCCTGTGACTTTTCAATTTGAACCAGGAGCCCTCCAAATTGTGGAATGCCACATAGTTTGACAAGTGTTTAAGGCCTTCTCAGAACCTTTTGATTTGATTTCCGATTCACATTATGTTGTTAATGCTGTTAAAGGTCTTGAAATTGCGGCAGATATTAAGGTTAAAAGTCCTGTGTCACATTTTTTAAGTGAGTTATGCAACTTGATTCGGTGGCGGACCGCCTCATTCTATATAGGACATATACGGGCTCATACCATGCTTCCAAGCCCAATGGCGGCCAATAATGATCTGGCTGATAGAGTGGCTAGGGCGCTGGCTTTGTCTGCCCTTGATAATACTGAGGCCGCAAAAGACTTTCATTGTCTGTATCATGTTCCAGCTACCACATTGCGCCTTAAATTTCATATCCCCACCAGGCAGCAAGGGATATCATGACCTCTTGCCCTTCCTGTGTACAGTTTCTTCATCCACCCCACACAGAGGTCAACCCCCGGGGATTACACCCTAGCGACCTCTGGCAGATGGATGTTACTCACATCTCCAGCTTTGGGAAACTTCAATATGTGCATGTCTCCATAGATACTTGCTTTGGCATTATTTATGCCTCTCCTCTTTCTGGAGAAAAGATTGTCAATGTTGTCTCTCATTGCTTGGAGGCCTGGGCGGCCTGGGGCAAGCCCCGAACATTGAAAACCGATAATGGCCCTGGATATACTTCTAAGGGTTTTCAAACTTTCTGCCAAAGGATGCAGGTGCATCATATTACAGGCCTACCTTATAATCCTCAAGACCAAGGGGTGATTGAGCGAGCTCATCACTCCATCAAGGAACTTCTACAAAGACAAAAAGGGGGAAAAGAGGAAGGCTACTTACCCAAGAATAAATTAGCTCTTGCCCTTTTTACTCATAATTTTTTGATACTAAATGACAAAGGCCTCTCCGCCGCCAGTCGGCATGCGGATCCAGTTCATTCTCAATTTCCTTCTGTAAAATGGAAAGATGTGTTAACTAACACTTGGCAAGGACCGGATCCAGTCATATCTTGATCCAGGGGAGCTGTATGTGTTTTCCCACAGGATCAAGAAAATCCAATTTGGGTGCCGGAAAGATTGACTCGTGTGATATGCCATGAAGTTTCTGATCCTGTTGCTGAGCCTGATCATGCTCCAAGAGAACAATGGACACAAGATGTGCCTATGGGCAGTGACCAGGACATGGCCGATGCCAATGCCAGTGCACGCTGATTCCAGTGCGCTTCTGGTGATATTTTCCATTTCCTGTGATTTGGAGGCGCCATGCATGTTGCCAAGAGAGGATTCTTTAAAACCCTTCAACTTGACTAGAGTAGGCCTGAATGGCACCTTCTGCTTTACTTTGGTTGATGACCCCCCATGCATTAATTTAAAACGCAGAAACATTACTACATGGATGAATCCTCTCGAGCAGGCACAGGTCTCTATAAATACACTTGTGAGTGCGCTCACCCAAATAACCCAGGAGCAGACATCAGGTTCTGGTATTGGCAATAATAGCTCTGGAGGGGTTAATGTTACTACAATGGCCATGAGGAGTACCCTGCTGGTGCCCACGGCCAGTACTGATTTGTCTGCCAATGGCACTCGCTTTATTGCTTCCCCTCATTGTAAGCCGGATTCTTCTTTTCCTCCAACTTTCACCACCTGCCAGAGCAGGCTGTGGGAAAAGAACCAAATTAGCTCAGGATTCTCTTTGTCACCATCGCTAAAACGCTTTGTGATTGGTAATGATATCAATACTACTGTAGGGGACGGCTGGCCTTGGTATCAGTGGCTTGTTTTGAATAGTGTAGGAGCCGTCTCTGATGTTTCTGCCCTAGCTCAGTTGGGTGGAATTGTTCATAGATTGCAAAATATTTCTGGGATGGTGACAGAAAGCAGCAAAGGGAAGCGGTTATCCAAAACTAAGGTTAATACAGAGCTTGCTAATGCTACCTTGCCCAAAGCTGTGGTATGTGTTCAGTCGCCGTTTGTGTTTTTGCTTATTAATCCATCTGAGCATAATGTTACAACAGTGGACTGTAAATCCACACAATGCGCTCTTGCAGAATGCTGGAATGACACTTGGCCGTTAGCTGTGGTCATGAAAGTACCGACCCTCGTTCCCATCCCAATTGAGGCTGACCCTGAGACCTTTCCATTGGTCTCACTTTTGAGGGAACGAAGGGATTTTGGCATCACAGCAGCCATTGTGACTGCCATTGTCTTCTCTGCCGCTAGTGCTGTCACTGTGGCTGTGGCCATGACTAATCAAGTACAAACAGCAAGAACCATAAATGACGTTGTTCAACAAATGTTCATGGTTTTGGAGACCCAGAATCAAATTAATAAACATTTGCTGTCAGGCATTGTAGCGGCTAATCAAAGAATAGACTTGATACAAACTCAGGTGGAAGATTTGTTTAATTTAGTTCAGATAGGATGTGTGTCTCAAACAAGACATGTATGCATAACTCCGCTTAAGTTTTCTGATGTAGGAAACCAAAGCAAAAGATTGGGAGAATATCTGGCGGGCAACTGGACCAGAGAGGTCGAGCAGCTCATTCAACAGCAGTTGTTCCAGATCATCACCCTCAACAAAACCCGACTCGAGCCCATCTCCTTCGGGGACTTTACTGAATGGCTGTCCTCAGCTTTCTCCTTCTTCAAAGAATGGGTTGGGGTGGGCATTGTTGGCGCTGTTTGCTGTCTTGGCGTTTTTCTGTGTCTGTGGTTCTTGTGTCGCCTCCGAGCACGGCAAGCCCGAGAAAAAGCTGTGATCATTCAGGCTTTAGCGACACTTGATCATGGCGTCTCCCCCCAAGTTTGGTTTGCCAGCCTTAAGAGAGATTTGTAGGACACGGCCTTGGCACCTAGGGACCTTGCTGTCAATGCACCTAGTAAGGCATGCCCTCTTTGGTTGCCAGTAGCCTTTGCACTCCATAGGCCTTATTGCCATTGCACATGGGAGGGTGCTGGTTTTCCTTTCTTCTCTCCAGGGCAGGGGCCCCTATCGTTGATCGGCTGGTTCCCCATGAAGTCCCGGCCTCGATCGGGTATGCCCCAGATTGCTCTATAATAAACATTATAGGGGGAGAAGTAGGGCGCCATGGCGCCGACATGTTCTCGCTTGCCTGCTCGCCGTCTCCACTTGGCATCAAGCCTCCATCTCGCCCAGAGGCGTTTCGCGCGTCCCCCCCCACCCAGTGGTGCGATCCAGCCTCAAATCATGAGCTGACCCATATGCTCAGGAGGGACCTAGACCATCATGGCTTTTGTTCTCTACTGTTTATAAGCAGTGCACGCCTGGGATCTGGGTCCTTCGCCATCATTCTCAAGTTGTGTGCTCCCAATAAAGTGTGTTCTAAGCAGAATCCTGCTGTGGTCATCTCTTCTGCTGGTGGACGTGGCATGCCACACTTTGTGCATACTGTTGTGATTTGTAAGCAGAGAATACCAGATAAATGCTACATCACATTATGCACAATGGCATTTTTCTCTCCAGTATGAATTTTCTGATGTGCTCGAAGAGTTGAGAACTTAGTAAAAGATTCACCACATTCCTTACATATGCACCGTCTTTCTCCTGTATGAACTCTGCAATGTGTTCTAAGATTTGAACTCTGGGTGAAGGATTTGTCACAGTCTTTGCATTTGTACGGTTTCTCTCCAGTATGAATTTTCTGATGTATTCTAAGATATGAGCTTCTAGTAAAAGATTTGCCACATTCCTTACAGAAGTTATGTCTCACTTCAGTATGAACTTTCTGATGTTTTCTCAGAATTGAATACTGGGTAAAGGATAGGTCACAGGCTTTGCATTTGTAAGTTTTCTCTCCAGTATGAATTTTCTGATGTTCTCTAAGAGTTGAGCTCTTAGAAAAAGATTTGTCACATTCGTTACAACTGTAAGGTCTGTCTCCAGTGTGAACTCTTTGATGTCTTCTAAGATGTGAGTCCTGGATAAAGGATTTGTCACATAGCATACATTTGTATGGTTTCTCTCCAGTATGAATTTTCTGATGTGTTTTAAGAATTGAGCTTGTGGTAAAGCATTTGTCACATATCTCACATTTGTAAGGCTTCTCGCCTGTATGGATTCTGTAATGGGTTCTCAGGTGTGATAATTCAAGGAAGGACTTACCACATTCTTTGCATGTGTATAATTTCTCTAGAGAATGAATTTTTTGATGCCTTTTTAATGATGAATAGTGTCTACAGGATCTGTCACACTCATTGCATTGATAAAGCGTTTCTCCAGCATGTCTTTTGTTTGTATGCATTTTCTGATGGCTTTTAAGTACTGATAACTGAGGAAAGGACTTTCCACATTCTCTGCATCTGTAAGGTTTCTCTCCAGTATGGAGTCTTTGATGTGTTTTCAGACTTGAACACTGACTAAAGGATTTGTCACAAACGTTGCACTTGTAGGGTTTCTTTCCAGTATGAATTCTCTGATGCTTTGTAAGAGTTGACTTCACAGTAAAGGATTTGTTACATACCTGACATTTGTAAGGCTTCTCTCCAGTATGCATTTTCCAATGGTTTTTAAGTGCTGACAACTGACGAAATGACATTCCACACTCTTCGCATATGTAAGGTTTCTCCCCAGTATGAAGTCTTTGATGTGTTTTCAGATTTGCGTACTGGTTAAAAGATTTGTCACAAATGTTGCATTTGTAGGGTTTCTTTCCAGTATGAACTCTCTGATGTACAGTGTGGCTTGAGGCAGTATTGAAGGATTTTCCACATTTCCTACACTGATGTGGTTTCTTTCCAATGTATTTAGTTTGTTGTAAAATACCATAGCTGAAATCGTCATCATATTGTCCCTGCCTGTGCTCTTTTTTTGCAGTGTAGACTCTCTGATTTTGAATAATGTGGGACCACAAATTTAAAGATTTCTCATAGTTTTTAAATTTACAAAGTTCTTCTCCAGTATGCATACTTTTATGTCTATTGATATTTGATGCGTCAATAGAGGCATCCCTGTGATTACTGCATCTGCAGTCATTAGAGTTTTCTGGAGTTTCACTTGTTTTATTAAGTGCACATGTGGAGAGGTCCTGAAGCACGTTGCCAAGCTCATTACACTGATGAGACTTCTTTTCATTATTCACATGCTGATGGACAGGATCACATTTGTAATAGTTCTCTAGAAAATGATATAGATTACTAAGGCTTGTTCCAACATTTAACATTTGATAAATGATGATCTCTTTAAGTTTTCTGTTAGATAAGTCAACTTACGTCTATTTCAAATAAAACTCCCAGTAGTCAGCATATTTTTTCGCTACAATTATATGAATTTTTGCAAAAAGAGAGTGACAGCCTTCATGAAAGAGGAAACAAATATTTGAGGAATTGGTAATTAGTCCTTGGGATGGAGATTACTGACTTATTATATTTAGAATATGCACCTCTATTTTTAAGTATGCATTTCCTCAGACATTGATGAAAAAAGAGTTTAATTCAATCCCAGGTTTACCATATTTGTACCTACTCATGAAGAGCAATGCAGAGACTACAGTTCAGAATTCCTCTTCAGATTAAAGGTTTACTCAAAAAAAGCATCACAGAGTTTATTGCTTTTGCTAGAAGACCCATTAGATTCTTCAAAAGTAGTGGGTGCAAAGCTACTATTCTCCTAGACAGCAGATGTTCTAGATCATTTGTGACAAGACTGTCATGGGCAGTTATTGCTAGTTTCTGTCCTCCACTGTCTGAGCTCCACTCACTGCTGTGTTTCTTAACTTTCCTCATACGGCTATTCTCAAGTCTACTCTGTACACTGATTCCTGAGAATATTTCCCAAAGGTGTTTGTGTTTTCTCTACTGGGAATAAAATGAAAGATGCAATGTGAAGACATACATGCAAGGAAGGCCATTATAGAATAATCTTACTTCATGGACTAATGTTAGACTTAGAATTTGTAAAATTATTCCAATTTGATATAAATACATTCAAATAAAATCCCATTTTATAGTAGTATTAAGTCATCATAACTCAGGTGTAAAAGGCACAGTGCCTTCTAACAGTTACAATAGGCAGTATGCATGCTGGGGCCAATACACTATACTAAGTTCAGTTATCAGAAATCCTTTCAAGTGGAATTAAATATTGCAAAAATATTCTCAGCCCATCTCTCCACATTCCAGGGCCATTTCATTTGCTCTGGACTGGTATCCACCCTACCTTGTATACAATAATCCATATGTACTGTGAAGTAGCTCATGACCCATGACAGAATTTTAAAGAAGAATACAGATGTTTAACATGGTACTGGGCTTAGTATATGAAGAAAAAAAATGGTAGAGAGATCTAGAAGTGACTTTTGCAATTTCTATTTTCTATCAGAGTATTCGGCATATTTAGGGAAAATCTTAAGTTGCATATCTTGAGTATTTCTCACAATTAAAACAATGTAATGATGAACATGGAACTTTATGATATGGCTGGAATCTGACACAAAATGTATGAACTACAATCTGTCCTGCTAAAAGATATGCTAGGAAAATATAGGTACAGAAATTGTGGAAGTAGTCAATAAATGTTTTATTTGACTTAAGGTCCAATCCATAAGACATAACCCACAATGGATACTGTTTTGGTAACTAAGGGCAGAAAATAGATAGCACAGAGACATAGGGTAATATCAAACACTACTGGTCTAAAAAAAAGGTATCAATAAAGTGAATCTTAATGATATTGTGCTATACCCATGATATATTCAGTCATCATTAGAGAAATTTTCTCCAGGAGCAGATGGGAACAGATGCAGAAACCTACAGCCAGAGAATATGTAGAGAGAGAGTCTACATGGGATAGTTCCATCAATTCCCTCCCCTCAGAGTTCAGGATCTTGCATAGCATATCATCATAGAACCTTCATCTGGCGATGGATGGAGAGAGAGACAGAGACCCATATTGGAGCACTGGACTGAGCTCCCAAAGTTCAAATGAGGAGCAGAAGGAGGGAGAACATGAGCAAGGAAGTCAGGACCACGAGGGGTGAGTTCACCCACTGAGATGGTGAGACTGATTTAATTGGAGCTCACCAAGGCCAGCTGGACTGGGAGTGATGGAGCATGTGATCAAACCGGACTCTCTGAACGTGGCTTTCAATGAGGGCTGACTGAGAAGCCAAGGACAACGGCACTGGATTTTGATTCTACTGCATGGACTGGCTTTGTGGGAGCCTGGATTGTTTGGATGCTCACCTTCCTAGACCTGGATGGAGGGGGGGAGGACCTTGGATTTCCCATGAGGCAGAGAACCCTGACTGCTCTTAGGACTGGAGAGGGAGGGAAAGGACTCGGGGGAGTGGGAAGGAAGTGGGAGGTGGGGAGGAGGTGGAAATTTTTAATAAATAAATAAATAAAAAGTGAAAAGAGTATAGGAGCTAGTTGGATGGAGGACACCAGCAGAATAAGACCCTCAAATCAATTTAGCCAAGTGCAAGTGAACTCACAAAGACTAAAGTAGCAGGCACAAGGCCTCCATGGGTCTGCACTAGGTCCTCTTCCTACATATTACACCTTTAAGCTTAGTCTTATCATGGGACTACTGAGTGTGATAACAAAAGGGTCTCTGATTCTTGTGCCTTTTCTTAGGAGTCTTATCTTTCTGTTGGGTTACCTTGTTTAACTTCAGTATGATGGTTTTTGCTTTATCTTTTTTAATTTTACTTTGTCATGTTTCGTTGTTATTTCTTAGAGGCCTGTTTTTTTTTTCCTAGTGAAAGATAGGAGTGGATATTGAGGAAAGGGGATATGGTGAGAAACTGAGTTGTGGAGGGAAGAAAAAGTATAATCAGGATATGTCATGGTTTGAAAGAAAATGGCACCCATAGCAAGTGGTGCTATTAGGATGTGTGGCCTTATTGGAGTAGGTGTGGCCTTGTGGGAGGAAATATGTCACTGTGGGGTGGGTTTTGAGGAGCCATATATGCTCAAGCCATGCCTAGTGAGATAGTTCACTTCCTGTTTTCTGCAAAGTAAAGAATTCTCAGTCATCTCTCCAGCACTGTGACTGTCTGTATGTTGCCATGCTCCCAGTGATCATGGTCCCCAGCAAGGATGATAATAGACTAAACTTCTGAAACTGTAAGTCAACAGCTCAGTTAAATACTTTCCTTAATAAGCTGCCATGGCCATGGTATCTTTTCACAGAAATAGAAACCTTAACTCAGACAACTAAGACAGAGGTTGGTACTAGGAGTGGGGTATTGCTATGATAGGCCTGACCATGTTTTTGTTTGGAGGAATTTGGACTTTGGTACTTTGGGTTTGAAAAGCAACTGAAAGCTTTAAGTATTACTTAATGAGACATAATAGTAGTAGCATGGAAGAGAGTGGTGCTGAGCATGATTTGATGAACTGTGGGAGCTGGCAAAAGAGAGTTCAGAGGAGTATTGTCTAGAGATTGTTCTTGTGATATTTTGGTGAACAAAGTGGCTGCTTTTTGCCTTTGTCCAAAGAGTTTGCCTGAGGCTAAAGTGAGGGGTTTTATACAAATTCCATTTGTAGAGAAAATTTCAAAACAGTCAGGTATAGAGTCTTCTGTCATGTGTTTATCAGTGTTAACTCTAATAAAAATTTATAATGAAATGGAGAAAGAAAATGTATCCCCTTGAGGGGATAAGGAGCACTAGGAAGTGGAATGGTGCTAAGTCCCTATGTTCATTGAGATAAACAGATTAAGAAATGGAATAAAGGGAGTGTTGACCTCTGGGCAAGAACTGCCGTAGCTAAGTTTTGAACTTGTAAAAAGAAACTGAAGAAAAGCTTACAGCCAAGTGTGGTGGTGCACACATTTAAGACAAGCACTGAGAAGACAGAGGCTAGTGGATCTCTGAGTTTGAGGCCAGCATGATCTACAAAGCAAATTCCAGAAGAGCCAAGCTTATACAGTGAAGAAAATCATCAAAAACTGAAGTTGGTGAAGATGTAATTGAACAAGACATCCATGTTCCAGCCCCAGTAAGCAGCAGAACTTGTCAGTTTCAGGCTCATGGTTCTGGAGTTAAGCATAGAAGAAAGGGGCTATGGAATTTGCCACTGAGACTAAGGAAAGTTGCTAAGGCCAGGCATGTGTCAGGGGTGTCCATGAATGGAGGCAAAGAGAGGCCATTGCTTGAACCTTGGATTGCCTGGGAGAACCCAAGATGTTAGAGATTCCATACCCTTGGGATACCTGCCCAAGAAAGCTACTAACAGGGAGTGGAACCAGTCCATGAAAAAGAAATATGTTGTATTCAACACAGTTGAAAGGAGTTGGATATCAGAAGAGTGTTTTGACATCAGACATGGAGATTATGCTCAGCTGGATTATAAACTTGCCTTGGTCTAGTATTTTCTTGCTAGGCTCCCTTCCCAACATATCCTGTGCCATTACCTGTTGGAAATATGAGATTTTTTTTTACTTTGGTTTTATAAAGGGTTACAATTAAGAGATTGCATAAATCTCAAAAGAAACTTTGAATTTTAGACTTTTAAGTAAGTTTGAGACTGCAACAGACTATGAGGACTTTTGAAGTCGAACTGAATCCATTTTTGAATTATGATATGGCTATAAGACTATGGGGGCCAGCGAGTGGAATGTGGTGGTTTGAAAGAAAATGCCTTCCAATAGGGAGTAATGCTCTTGGGAGACGTGCCCTTGTTTGAGTGGATAGACCTTGTTGCAGGAAGTGTGTCACTGTGGGGCAGGTTTTGAAGTCTCATATATGCTCAAACCAAGCCCAGTGAAACAATTATTTCCTGTTACCTGCAAAATGTATGATTCTCGGCTACCTCTCTAGCATCACGTGTGCCTTCATGCTACCATATTGTCAGTCTACATGATCCCTGGCCATGATGACAATGGACTAAACCTCTGAAACTATACGATTCCAACTCAATTAAGTGTTTTCCTTTATAAGAGTTGCTGTGGTCATGATGTCTCTTAACAGCAAAAGAATCTCTGACTGAGACAATGTATAAGGAAAGAGTCTACTTCAATAAAAGGGAAAAAAATGAAAAGGAAGACATGGTGGAAACGTTATATGCTGCTGAGTTTTCTGAATGCATCCTGGAGCCCAAATGTGTGACACTTCTAAAGGAAAATTAAAACAACACATACCAAGAAAAAGTTCTTTTCTACCAAGCTTTCCATCCTCTCCTGTTATTTCCAAGACAGTTTAATAGTTTACAACCTATAAATTTGGTACATATAAAGGATGACTTAGGAATTCTATAAGCAAAATGTTCTCACCCACAAAGACCAGGTTGCTGTAATTCTCCAACATCACATCAATGTACAAAGTTCTCTGCACAGAGTCCAGGCATTCCCACTCCTCCTGGGAGAAGTCTACAGCTACATCCCAGAATGCTAATAGACACTGAAACAAAAAAGTACAGTTTGATCACATGATCCCAGACAGAGTGCTTTCCTGGATGTAAAAAGACTTAATGAAATTAGGGATGTAGATGAGTAAAAACAATTATACAAAAAGATGATTTCTAATATAGTCACATTGTATAAAGGCTTTTCTATCTGTGAGAACAAGATGACACAATAGTTTCATAGCCATTGTACATGAAACAAGACACACATTTAAGGTCTGAACATGGTTGTCTATCTGTTATAGATGCTGTGTTCATATCCCACAGGATCACAGCATACATGTCTCAGAAGAAAAATCTGTAATGAGGAAATGTGATTTTAAATGCTGTACCCGTAAATGTTACAATGTGCCAAGCTACAATGGTTCAAAACCATTTTTAAATGCAGAAACACAAAAATTTAAAAAACATAGAGATATCTTTCAGGATATAGGATGGGGACGAACTTTTTGAATAGCAAAAACATCAACATCACAGGAACTTATCCCAAGTACTGATAGATTGGACTACATGAATATAAAATGTTTGTTTATCAAAGGAAATACTGAGCAGAGCACACAGATACCCACAGAATGGGAGGAAATCTGTACCAGAGACAATTTGGAAAGGGGCTCATACTTAGAATTTACAAACAATTTTAGAAATTAAATAGCAATGGAATGAAATTGATAATCAGTAAATGGGCAAATGAGCTGAATAGACACTTTGCTAAGACATAAACACAAATGGCCAATAAATATCGCAAAAACTGTTCAAAATTCCTAAAATGTCATCATGGAAATGCAAACTAAAACTACTTTGACATACCACCTCACCCCAGGCACACTGACATCAATCAATTTAACAACAAATGTTAGAGAGGATAACGAAAGAAGAAAGATACCTTTATTCACTGATGGTGTGTGTGTGTGTTTGTGTGTGTGTGTGTGTGTGTGTGTGTGTGTGCTGCAAAGTAAAACAGCTATTATGGAAATCAGTTTGGAGATTATTGAAAAATATTAAAGATAGAACTAATGCACGAACAACTCTTTCATTCCGAAGTATATGCCAAGGAAATTCTACACCCCAATACAGAGAATTTACACCTCACACCCCATGTTTATTGCTGCTTTATTCACCATAGCAAAGTACTGTAATCAACCTAATAATCTAACAACAGATGTAAGGGTAACAAAAACGGTATACATATAAAACGAAATACCATTCAGATGAGGAGAAAAAGGTAACAAAAATTTGCACTGATGTGGTTGGATTTAAAATAAACAATAAGGTCACACAGTGTCAAAAAGAACAAAAACATGTTTTCCTTCATATGTAGAATCAAATAGTGCGTGTGGGCACAGTAGAACATGAAGAAAATAAGAAAGATTAAATATCAGAGGTTGCAGAAGGACCGAATACAGATAATTAGCACCAGTTATGAAAAAGGATATAAAGCTAGGTGCTTTTCTAGTTCTAATTCTGTCACCGTTTTTTTTTTTTTTTTTTTTTTTGCGGGGGTGGTGGTGTTGGTACATAATTACAACAAAATATATTTGATAGTGAAAATATAAAATTCCATGACTCCAGAGGCTCCAAAGCTCCTGTTCCCAATGACAACTTTAATTATATAAAATTACATTGAGTTATATACTCTTTGGGTCTGGTTATTTTTAGTATGCAAACTTTTTGTTGTTTGTTTGCAATGTTTTTTATAACAGTTTTTAAAAAATCAGAAATAAAAATGAAATGCTTTCAATGTCTCAAAATATAACATTTCTATAGCAATAGTAGACATGACCACTGACCTGGGACATCTTTCCTGGAGAATCAGCCATTTCTTTCTCTTTTTTTTTTTTGAGTTTCTCTTTCAGGAACAATGAATAGATGGCTTGTTGCCCTGTCATATAGAGGCGTCCAAAAGAAAAAGCAAAAATCAATATTGAAAACTGATAAAAAAAAATGATGTCAAACCACATGAGGACCCATGCAACACAATACAGCAGATTTCTCGTCAGTGATCCCAATGCCAGAAGAACATGTAAATACATCTAAAGCCTGGTAAGAAAATCACCACCAACCATATTGTTACAACTAGATAAAAACTCTCTTAAAATTCGTGGAGACGTAAGTGCACTTCAAGATAGTCCCAAATTAACACAATTGATTTCACTAAAGATACATGACACATACTAATTCTGAGGAAAACTATACATAGAAGAAAAGGGGATTCATCTATTAGAACATGAGAAGTCATAAATTTCATGTGAAGAATAGATAAATACAGGAGAGCTGGAAGTAATCATCCATGGGGAAGACAGCAAATCACTATTAGTCACAGAGAAGGAAGAATATCCCCAAAATATCCAGCCAGCAACAACATCAAAAACAAAACAAAACAAAAAAAATCCTTTCCAATAAAATTCTGGCCACTCTGGAAATCAATATGAAGAATTGTAAATTAAATTAAAAAAAAACTCCTCAAGATAAATAAATCTAGCACATGACCCAGATGTTCTATTCCGTGGTGTACGCTCATAGGACTCGACATACCACTTCACAGATATTTGCTCACTCATGTTCTTTGCTGCTCTACTCATAAAAGCTACAAGAGGGAAACAAGCTAAATGCCCTTCAACTGACAAATGAACAGTAAAAATGTGGTACACATATGCTATGAAATATGATTCAGCTGTAAAGACAACTGACGTCATGAACTTTGCAGCTAAGCGGTTGCCTAGAAAAGATCATACTGAGTGACGTAACCCACACACAGAAAGACAGACAATAGTTGTTCTCTCTTATAGGAAGTTCCTAGCTCCAAATCTTCAGATGTGAATCCACAACCTGGAGTGACTGCAGTAACCAGGAAAGTAAAAGGAGACCACCGTAGGGTGTGGGAGAGTAAAAGCAAGGGGAATAACAGAGAACAAATGATCTGAAGGGGAAAATGGAAAAACAGGGAGGGATTTAATTATGGAGAAGGGGAAGATATAAACACTGAAGAAAGAGGGTAAAATAACAGTAAGAATGGCTGAAAATGTCATAGGGAATCCATCTAATTTTTGACTATTATCCATCCATTAAAAATGCCTATAATACATATAGGCCCCTGTAAGCATATACATTTAGAGAGTAAATGAAAATTTCCCAACTGCACTGATGATGCTCCTCACTTAGAGTCCTAGAATTTCTAACAAAATGACTGACACCAGGTGTAAGAAACCTGCTTTGAAGTTGTTGGTCACAGTTCTAAGACACTTCCAAATATTACAGGACATTGCTGTTGCCCATGGCTGCCTCCCATAGGTAGAAGTGGAGTCCCTAGTACTAAAGAAGCCACACACTTCAAACACAAATCGTAGAGGACTCAAGATGAATATGACCTTAAAGCTTCCTGCCTGGGGACTAGCCTTTCAAAGTCCCAGTAGGCAACATACATCCAAAGGAGGAAGCCAGCCAACAATCCTACCCGTAACACCTATGAACCATAGAAATGATCTGCACTGTATGATAGCCCTAAGGGTGCAAGAGTGGCACACACATACACACATACCTTGGAGGTAACCAACAGCTTCTAAGTGAACTTAAGACTTCAACAAGAAGGAAAACATGCCTGGTATTGGAAACCTAGCCAGTTCCACTAAGTCAAGAATCTTGCAAAGGAATCTACAGCTATCACTTTACCAAATTGGCCTAATCCCTAAAAATGCATTCTAAATATTTACTTTTATTCTAACAGATAAATGTAGTCCTCGCTCCTCATCAAGGAAAATTCTTTTCACAACACACGGAGATTATTACAGAAAACCACAATCAGTCAAAATGAAGACTTGTGATGATCCATCCCCACTGACTTATAAGCAACACAACACCTGAACCTCAGGCTCAGGGATCACTGAGAAGGGAGCTGACTTGGGGTGTGGGGGTAGAACTAGGAACAGGATCTTTGCTGAGATTGTTTCCCCTAGAAATGTCAGAGAAGCTACATGCATAAAATCTTACAAACAGGGCTGCCTAAACATGAGCAGAACAAGGACAACACCAAGAGACATGCTAACATGGAAGGGAGGAAGCTCACTAGGCCTAAACTCAAGTCAAACACTAAGGAATTCTGAGAACTGGAGAAATAGAGAAGACTGGTTATCGAATACCAAATGTTCATCCTTGAAAATATACAAACTGAGTAGGTTGTATTTTAAAAACAATGAAAGAAAAAGTTACTAAGAAATAATAAATGCCTATGTAAAGTCAAGATTTTAGATCACCTACATAAAAATATCTACAAGGGCTTTATACTATTTTCTATTATTGATTCTCACATAAGTAAAACTTAATAGAGGCTAGAGAAATTATTCCATGGGTACTACTGTCTGTTACTGTTTTAGAGACCCAGGTTCCATTCTCAGACCCTAGAGGGTGACTCCCATCAGTCCATACATACAATTCTAGAATGCACATGATATACAGTCATACATGTAGCAAAATACTCATGGCAAAACTGATTTCCTGTCTTACTTCCACTTGATTCGCTTGCCATCCCTTCACCAATCCCTCTACCATACTTGGATCCTTAGCTATTGTCTGCTCTCTCTCCATCTTCCAGGCCTCTTTGTTCTGTTCCACAGAGAAGCAGGTCCGTGTGATCAGTGAGTCCTGTACAGGAAAAAGAGATTCTTCAGAAAGCACCTGAATTTCTAACACAGTACTGTGCTCAGTAGATGAAGAGAGGATTCACAAATGATTCCCCAATTGTCCTGCAGGGTCAGAATACTGATATCATTAAGACAGAATTCTGTTATTATAACGTGAATCCCACTTTAATTCACAACTCAGGGGAGAAATGGATGTTAGGGATCAGAATATTTTACATTGGTGAGGTTCTGAATTTATCATGGACCAAAAATAATGGAAGCCTTACTTCCCAAAGGGACATACACAAGAAGCGATGACATTTCTTTTTTATTTGTTTGAGATGTGAGACTCATTCACACACAGGAGGAGCAAGCAATCTAGTCTTATCCACAGAAACTGGACTACTGCAATTCTGTAACATTCAGTCTCTGTACAAAGCCCTCTGAGCAGAGTCCAGGCATTGCCCCTCCTCCTGGGAGATGTCCACAGTTACACCACTGACTATCAACAGACTACAAAATAATAAACAACACTTTGAATTGTCCTGTTTGTCCACACGTTTAATCCTAGCATTTGGGAGAAACATGTGGGTGGAACTCTCTGTTTTCTATTCCAGCCGGATCCACATGGTGAGCTCTGGGCCAGAGAAACACAGTGAGTTCAGGTCTCAAACAAAGCAAACACAAGAACCAAAAACTAACAGTTTGGTCATGTTGTCCATGGGCAATGCTTTTCTTGAACCGAGGAGACAAAAGACTATTGCAGACATTTTTTTCTGATGCAAATGATAATAATTCTGATATGCGTGATCATAATTATTGAAAAGATGCTTTTTATAGATCATTCTATACTATAATGCCTTTTTTTGAGAAAAGTTTCTCTATGCAGTATAATCCCGAATGAAATTCTTTGGTCAAATTAAGCAAGTTTTATTTTCTGTCAGACAGAGTTATCTCCCTAAAGCAGGGTTTGAAAATACAGCATTGAACTCAGGAAAAAGAGGGGCTTATACATTTCCCAAAACTGCAGGGCAAAGGGGTTTTCACCTGCTAGTGGACTTCCAGACCAACTTTTGTTAAATAGGAACTTAGCCAAACATTTTCTAATTATTTGGCAGAACATCTTATCAGGGTATGTTCAAACTGTGAGTCAGACTCCAGAGGGTGGGGAGCATGTCAAATTCCAAAAACAGGTTAGAGCACAGTCAAGTTGAATTTAGCAGCAAACGGAAATGAACATCTGACTTTATAACAAATATCTTCCTCAAGATGGAGTCAGGGTGCTCCATCATAAGCCCTGGCTGTCCTGAAAGTCACTTTGTAGGGACCACTCCCCCACAATATTTAAATGAACCCCCCCCACACAAAAACAAAACAAAGCAAAACAAAACACGTGGTCTCTTTTCCTTCCTCCTGGTGGTCGGTGGTCGTGTTTGCATAGCCTCCCGGTTCCCCCGGGGACCACCCGAGAACCCAGAACTCCCATTAAACCTGGATATTTCTTAATTCGATTCGTTTTGCTTTGGCTTGATTGGGATTTTGCGTTGGCAGAGAGCTCGAGTTAGGAAATATTCTTAACACCTGCCTCTGCCTCTGGAGTGCTGGGAATAAAGACGTGCACCGCCACCACCTGACTCATAATGCTTTTTCTAAATGAAAATACTGTGACCTAACACCCTCAAATAGCATACCGGGCTTTCCTTGGAAGGTGCAACACTCAGAGCACAGCACAAGAAGACACATACCCGACCCCCACCCCGACCCGCCTTTTTGTTGTTTGTTTGAGACAGAGTCTCACGATGTAGCTATGGGTGTCCTGGAACTCGCTATTACTCTTGACTGGTCTCAAATTCGTAGCGATCCACCAGCCTCTGCTTCCTGAGTGCTAGTATTCAAGGCCTATGCAATCAGGTCTGGCTAAGACACGTTAGAATGCTGTGTTTACCTAACAGAGTAAGTATGTGTCAGATGAAAAATTAATGAGTAAAGAGTTTACTTTTAAGTGCTAATGTTAACAACCATACATGTAAAACTCGCAAATAGATATCTTCATAGTCAATTAAACCTGCAGCCATTCCTTTCATAACTAATATCTAAAAGCTTTCCAGGGAGGCTATGTCCTCACGTCCCAGGTGTAACACGGAAGTTAGCGTGGATGAGAATGTTAATTTTAAAGAGCTTTGTCGTTTCCACCACAGCAAAAAGAACCGTATTTGCAAATATCAAGAACCGAATTCAAATGTTCTACTATATTATTTTTATAAGAATATTTTGGCAATCAGAAGATCAATTGAAAAAAACAGGCTTATTACATATGATCTTAAATACACAAAGGGAAAGACATTCACAGCACAATTTGAAATTCGGAGCCAGCTTTCTTCTGAACAGCAGAGAAACTGCTCTCACCCCTGGTCCCTTTCCCTCCTGGGTCCCAGCCCCGCAGCTACTCTGACCTGGGAGGTTCCAGGGCCGCCGGGCTGCGGTTCCCGCCACTGAGCTGCTGACTTTCCCAGGCCGCCCGGCGGAGACTGCGGCTCCAGGGAGCCCCCCGCGACACCTAGGTCTGCACCACGGGATTGCGCACAGTGCAGGTCCAAGAGCACCGACAGGGAATGGGTATTGGGTACTTCCGGCTTTGGCTCCTCAGTAAACTTCCCTGGCCTCTCCCACCGAGGGTTCAGCTTTCCTTCACTTCACTCCTCTAACTCCTCCCACTTTGGACTCCTCGCCACCTAAGGTACCCCTCCCTTCCAAGCTCTGTTTCCTGTTGAGTGTCTCCGCCCCAAGGAACCAGTCCCTCTCACTCCGTCTCAGGTCGCCTTCCACACAGCTCCAGCTGTCAGGCTGTCCTGAACCCGCTCTGCACAACCTCCCCACCCGCTTGCTGCCAGCCATGACCAGAACTGATCTAGAAGGACACTGCACCCCGGTATCTGACCCCACAGTGAATTCTGAACCTTTCAGATAAAAGATGAGCAGCCTAACCTCTACGTGACTACCAGCCTCCCCGGCTATATACTTAACCAAATAATAACAGGTTTAATTCAGATGCCAGATTCCCAAACCCAACACAAACATGACAAACCAAAGCCAAATACTGCAATTGTGCCTTGGGGAGAGACATTTCAGGAACTTGGATTTTCAAAAGAAATAGGTGTCTGAAAAAGTCAGATGTTGGCTATGAAAGGCTTGTTAGAAGAGTCACTGCTTTTAGCTGTAGTTCTCTGCTGAGCCCATCAGGCCCCAACACATAGCTCCAAATCCACAGTCTCAGAGACGGCCCTGGTTAATCAAAGGGAATTCCAAGAAAAATCAATAGAAACCAACACAATAGAGAGTTTTGTGGTCCAGGGCAGTCAAGGCGTAGAAGGTGAAAGTGAGTATCTGAGGCACACACAATACAGAGGCACACACTGTATGTGTTGTGTGAAATACTTAACAATAATTTTTTAACTGTTCACATAAGTCTGCAAATTCTTTTTGGTTGTGTCAGTATTTGATTTAATATCAAGAAATACCAAGTGTCAGAAGTATTGCTTTTTGTGTCAAGCATTTTAAGAAGATTTGATGTTAGTTCTTAGAAGTGTTGATCGAATCCTGTTAATCTGGCTAATGGAGTTGCCTTAAGGGGGCGTTTTATTACTTCTTCAGTGTCATTGCTATTTATAGTTTTGTTTACATTATTTATTTTATGTTGTTAAAATTTGGAATGCTTCATGTTCCAGGAGAACACCTTTAATTCCAGCTCTCGGGAGGCAGAGGTTCGAGGCCAGCCTGGGCTACAAGAGCTAGTTCCAGGACAGTCTCCAAAGATACACAGAAACTCTGCCTTGAAAAACAAACAACAACAACAACAACAACAAACTCTAATAGAATGACTGAATTTGCAAACTTGATTCACTTTGTTATGGTGGAAAAGCACAAAGCTCTTGAAACTCACATTCATCCATGCTAATTTCCCTGTTAAACCATTTACATATTCAAGAGAGTGGTACCTGGACCAGGGGAGCCCACATTCCCAGAGAACTTTTAGATAATAATCCTCAAAAGAATGCTTGCAGATTTGATAGAATCTGAAAATATTTTTTTTCAAGCTCCATGGGTATGGTTGTAAACATTAACATTTAAAAGCAATCTTTTTAGCGTTAATTTTTTATCTGAGGTTATGTACTCTGATGTAACCACAGCATTCTGAAAAGTGTCTTTGCCAGACCCGTTGGCACAGGCCTTGAATACCGGCATTCAAGAGGCAGAGACAGGTCAATCTCAGGTCTTGAGACCAGCCTGGTGTACATAGTGAGTTCCAGGACATGCATAGCTACATGGTGAGACCCCCTCAAAAGAACAAAATAGAAGGAACTATTGTATGAACAGTCCTTTTACTCCTGCATATAAACCCAGGGAACTCCACATCCCACTATTGAGATATTTACACCCTATGTGTATTGCTGCTTATTCATCACTGGACTCAACCTGATTGTCTGTGAACAGATAACTGGACAATAAAAAATGGTATATATATATATATATATATATATATATATATATATTGTTGTGTGCTATTTTGATTGTTATGACAAATAAATCTTGCTTGAAGTCAGAGGGCAAAGCTAGTCACTGGATAACCATAGAGGTGTGGAGGACTGGGGGGGGGAGGGAGAGAGAGAGAGAGAGAGAGAGAGAGAGAGAGAGAGGGAGGGAGAGATACAGAGAAGGAGAGAGGCAGAGAGAGAAAAGCAGAGAAAGAGATACAGTACAGGAGGTGGTAAGGTAAGAAACTGAAGAGGTAGGAAGCTACTGGTGGCTGCTCCTTTTTCAGGGTCTTACCCAATATTTCAGGGTCTTACCCAATATTTGACTCTGGATTTTTTTGATAAAGAGTAATTAGATTAATGCTTCAATATACAAAATATAATCTTAATCAGAAAAAGAGAAAAGTGTAAAATAAGTTTGCAGAAGAATGTTTGGACTTAGAATAAGAAATATTATGTGAGGTTATACAATGTCAGAAAGAAGAAATCATTTTCCCCCATGTAAAGAATCTAGCTACTAATATATGTTTATGGAAACAACATAATGTGGGTACAGTAGAACATGGAGAGAAAAGAGCAAGAAACAAATATCAGGGGGTGAGGTGGGACTAAATGCAGGAAAAGAACACCAGTTATGTAAAATGAGATAAAGCTAATTGCTTTTCTACCTCTAATTCTGTCACAGGTTTTTTGTTTTATTGACTTTTTGATGGTAGATAAGTAGATTAAAATGTACTGAATATTAAAACTATAAAATAAAATGTGAGGCTCCAGAACTTCTGATCCCAATGACTACTCTAACTGCATAAAAGTACATTGAGTTATATAGTCTTTGGCTTTGCTAAATTTCAGTGTGTAATTTTGATTGTTTATTTGTAACATTTTTACAATATAGTTATAAAATAATAAGAAGAATATTAAAGGCTTCCAATATCTCAAACTGTAACATTTCTAGGAAAAGTAGTGGACATGCCCACTGACCTGGGACAGATTTACTGGAGAACCAGCCATTTCTTTGTCTTTTTCTTCTTTGCATTTCTCTTCAGGAACAATGAATAGGTGACTTTTCTGCTCTTTCATATTAATGCATCAAAAATAAAAATAAAAATTATACTGAAAGCTGTTAAAAAATTATATCAAAACACATGGAAAGATCCAAGCAACAGAATTCTACCAGGTTTCTGGTCAATGAACCCAAAGATAGGAGAGCATAGAATGATATTTGAAACTTGGAGAGAAAAACACTATCAACTATATTGTTGCAGGAAAAAAATACTCTCTTCAAATTGGTGGAGATAAAAGTGCATTTTAAGACAGTCATGAATTATCACAATTGAATTCACTAAAGCAGCACTACAGATAATAAATTAGAGGCAAAACAAACACAAGAGAATCAGAAGAATAATTCAAGAGAACATGGGAAATAATAAATTTTACAAGGAGTTAGATAAATACAGGAGAAATGGGATGTAATCATCCATGGGCAAGACAGAAAATCTCTAACTCTTACAGTAAAGAAACAACACTCCCAATAATCCATCCAGCAACAACATAAAAACCAAAACCATATCAACAAAAAGGCTAGGCTCTCTGGAAATCAAAGTAGAGAATCCTTAATTAAATTTAAGAAACCTAAAGTTAAATAAATCTAGCACATGACCAAGTTGTTTCACTCCTTGTCATATCCTCAAAGTACTTGATATTCTTTCTACTCCAGTGACACTTGTTCACCCATGTTCATTGCTGCTCTACTCATAATAGCTACAAAAAGAAAACAACTTTAACGTCCTTCACCTGACAAATGGGGAGTGAAAATGTGGTACATATACACTATGGAATATGATTCACCTATAAAGAAAACTGAAATCATGAACTTTGCAAGTATATGATTGGATGCAGATAAGAACATATTGAGTGAGGTAACCCAGACCCAGAACAGACAATGCATGCTCTTTCTCATAGGAAATTCCCAGCTCCAAATCTTCAGATATGAGTCCACAACCTGAAATGACTGCGGTAACCAGAAAAATAAAAACAGACCACTGTGGGGTGTGGGAAAGTAATATAGAGGGGAAATAACAGGGAACAAGTGATGTGTAAGGGGAAATGGAGACACAAGGGGACAAATTTTATTATGAAGAAGGGCAGATAAAAACAAAGAAGGAAGGTAAACTATCTGGGTTCCTCTGTGTAGCCCTGACTATCCTTAAACTCACTCTGTAGACCAGGCTGGCAAGGAACTCTCAGATCCATTTGTCTTTGCCTCCAGAGTGTTGGAATTTAAAACATGTGACACCATTGCTGCTTGGCTTATTATGTCCTTTCTTACCATAAAAATACTGTGACATGATACTCTCCAACACCACACTGTGACTTTCCAGGCTCTAAATTCCAATATTAGGAACCCAGTACAAGAAGATACATTTCTTTCCTCTCATTTTGTTTTTGTTTTTATTTTATGGATTGTTGAGACAGGGTTCCACTATGTAGCTCTGTCCTGGGACTTGTTATATAGATCAAGTCGACCTCCAACTCATTGAGATCCACCTGTGTAAGCCTCCCCAGTGCTGGGGTTGTAGGGTTTGCCACCAGTCTTATCAAAGGCACTTTTCAGAATGCTGTATTTACATCACAGAGTGTATATGTCTCAGATGGAAAATTAATGGTGGATAAAAAGTTTACTTTTAAATGTTTGTTTAAAACCATACCTGTGAAACTCACTACATATATATTTATGTGTGGATTCAATTAATATTGAGGGCATTCCTTTCAAGACTAATTAATATCTAAAAGCTCTCCAGAAATACCAAGTTCCCAGTTCTATGCGACACTCTTGAGTAAAGAACACAGAAGTTCCAATGCATAATTGTAAATGTGAAAAGTTTTGTTGATTCCAACACACCAACGAGAACTATGTCAGCAAATATCAACAGATAAATATTCTACAAGAGTATTTTTATAAGAATGTTTTGGCAATCATCACAAGATCAATGAAAAAAAGGGATTAGTCCACTTCACATGATCTAACATTACATGAACTAACTCAAAAACACGTTTCCTGTTGCAATTCATGCTAAAGGTGCTTTTAAGATAAAATGCAATTTTACCAACAAAAGTAAGACATCCAAGCAGAATTTGAGAGCCGGCTTCTTTATAAACAGTAGAGAAACTGATCAAACCCCTGGTCCCTTCCCTTATGTCCCAGTCCTGCAGCTCCTCTGACCTTAGAGGTTCCAGCACAGTTGGT